TCAGCTTACAAATATGGGGTAGGATCTACAATCTTCCCCCCTCTGTATAATTGAAGGTGAACGTGCTGGGTAATGCGGCGATAAGGTAGACGTCGCGATATGCCCAATGCTGTTCCCCTTGAAATTGTACCACCGTAGACTGTTGGTGAAAAAAAACAAATTCTAGCCCTGAAGCCTGGAAAGAGAAAAAGCGTAGTTTTGTATGGAAATATATTCGATGTATTGGGCAGGGGAGTCTTTTGACGGTCAAAAAAGAATTGATGATAAAAATATTATAAAATTATTTATTAGCTATATAATCGAACTTCCTCTGTTAAGACCTTTAGTTCGGTCCTCACTCAAATTTCATTCCTTTCACCGAAAGGATGGTATAGTAATTCGCACATGGGTATTAATATTTCTAAAAAGAACATGACTGTTTTCCGTCTTGAACTAAATTCAGAATAATGGTTAACATAAATCAATTATATGTTCATATAGATCATTCAGAAATTGTAAAGGTTAACAAACCCAGATCGTTGCTCAATTGAACTAAAATTGAAAGTATATCATGTAATTATATTTTAGAACCACATCAGAAAATAAAATTTTGTAGAAAAAATACTAACATTGTTTGTAAGTTATTAATCTCAGTTCGCTTTCTAAAAAATTCCACTGCATGTGTATAAAAATTAAAAGAGTGATTGCATGTTTAACCGCTTGATGGAATACGAATTGCGTTGTGATTGATTACCTTTGAAGTTGCCAGTTCCTTGGATTCGCAGACCGTTATTGAATGCATGATAATTGTTCGGAAAAGGCCAATATCGACCGACAATAGTCCCATCGAATGGAGCATATACTGTGCTGCCTGGGTTGCATGTTATGTCAACTCCTCTATGACTTCTACTGCCCCTAAAATACAAAGTCATATATAATATGCAATTATCAAACCCTTAGCGACGTACTGTTGCAAATGAATAAAAGCCTGCATTAAGTCGATTGATATAACGGGATGCATGGGACTAAAATATTTCGAAAAAAACCTTCAGGTCTTAGAAAAGGTCTTGAGCTACTTTCACGAGGGATTGAATCAATTTGTGATAATATTATATAGAGTTGTTAATGATTTAAAAAAATTGATGAATCTTCTACTCTACGAGATATAGAGCATGGAAATACTGGAAGCCGATTGGTCCTTGAGCATAAATAATCCCCGAGACGGCACGAAGCGCCTTGCGAGGGTACTAATCCCGCCCGGATATTAGGAATTACACCCGGGTATTGTGACAGAACATAGGCGAATCCAAAGTTGCCCAAATGTCATGGACGTTCAATGGTCATCATAGTTGTGCGCATGCGCAAAATTCGAAGAAAAAACGGTCGTCTACAACTTGCTGATTGGCTGAAGACAAAAAGAGAGCATGCATGAAAGCGTCAGCATTTTAACCGTCATTTTGCAAACTATTTTTTAAAAATATAAAATGAAATCATGGAGTCAAATATTAAAACAATAATAAAAGATTTAAAGATCATCACAGCACAGAAGCAGTCGGTAAAATAGGAACAACTCGTAGTTTATAATCTTTGAAGTGGTAGGTGTCTATATTTTGCTTATTCAGGTACAAGTACGAGCTTGGTATGTCGTTTTACAAGGAGTTAACCGACCGTCTAAAGCTTTACATCATCGCTTAAACTTTAAAAAGAGTTCTCAAAAGTGTACTTCAGAGTTTTGATTAAACAAATATCACTTTGCAGCTTATATAGTCGCTAAAATCATTGAAAAAAAAAAATATCGAAAAACGAGATTCGACGTTCAGTGCTTGTATGGTTATATATAATAATTATTTGTGCTGTTTTGATGTTTTGAAGGTTTAGCTATAGAAAAGTTTAACACTCACTTAAACTGCAACGTAATGCAGCAGGCAAACAGGTGATTTCTGTTCACCTTTACGACTGTCTTTGTTTCCGAAAAACTTGCACGAGTTATTTCATAATAAAATTATTAGCGTAGAAAGTTAGGTCTGGGTAGCGCACGAAATGTTTTGCTTCGTTTAAAATGGCGAGGGGTTGCTGCATGCATTATTTCTAGTAAATTTGTGTAGGGTTTTCACAGTGCGAACTCTGGAAAATCGTAAAAAAGTATACGTTATATTACCTCGAAGCTCCATAGTATCCACATCCTTTCCGATCGCATCCTCGTACCGTGTTGAAAGGATTTGAAGAACACAGCTGAGCGAATTTTGAGGCCTCCACTAAATGTTGACAAATATTATTAAGTAAAACACAGAAATGTGTCTCTATTGCCTTGAATTTAAGCCAGAGAAAAGTCCACACGCTTTATATATCATGGTAAATATAATTTCGTTGAAAACGTCTTCCTGAAAATTACATATTTCCGCCTCAGTAAACTCTCACAGTAAAAATAAGAAACAATAACTGCCAAGACGACAAATATTAGGCGATAGCCAATATAGTTTTCTCAAAATAGGCAGAAGTAAAAATATGCGATTTTCACCATAATGAAATGATAATGCGCGGTACACGGCGTTCTATATATCCCATATATCCTATAATAAGATATTTTTTCAGTCTCAGCTGAAGTAGGTAGAGGAGGCTCAATAACTGTTCACAAACAGGGGTCGGTTGTATCAAGCCCGTTTAGCTTAAACGGTGGTTAAGTTCAAAATAAAAAGCAAGTCTATCGTTTTATTCAACAAGCAAACTAAATGTTTTCAACCTTAATACAAAGATACTGTTTACAACTACATATTCAGTGCATAATATTCAAGTTGAGACATTCAAGAGAGTTGTAAGAGTGTTATTTAATTTTGACTTATCCACCGTTTAAGCTAAACGGGCTTGATACAACCGGCCCCAGGTAGGTAAGTATACCACACAGGAAGGCAAAGCACCCTTGGAGTTTGTACATTGTGATCTAGCGGGGCCGATAGAGCCCACAGCGAAAGGGGATCGAGTTTAAATACGCTTTATCATTTGTAGATGATTTTACAGGCATAAATATGGTATCCTTCATGAAACGGAAGAGTTACACTATAGATCGAAGCTACCGAGAAATACCTAGCTGACTTCGCCCGTTATGGAAACGTCGAGCGACTATACGTAGCGAGAAAGGAGGTGAGTTTATTAGTTATGCATGATTTAAAAGTCTCTTGAAGAAACGCTCAATCAAGCATGAGCAAGTGCGCCTTACTCACCGTATACGCCGCCTTACACACGGTACAGTAGAGAGAGCTTGGAGAAGCTTGTTTAGCATGGCGAGATGTCTTTTGTTGGAAGAAAAATTGCGAAAACGTTTGTGGACATATGCTGCAATGGCTTCAGCTTATAAACCAGATTATATACGTTGGACAAAATATGTTAGATGACAACACAAGTTGCAGAATTGATTATTGTTATACGCTTGCAAACATCCCAGTGAGGGCACCAAATGCAAATAAATAGCAATACGTCTTTTGCATTTTGATTAATATGTATTTTCGTGTTTTATGGAACTTAAGAATTTTTTTTGCATTGTGTTTTTGTATGGTTTCGTGTTAACATGCAAGAGATCGAGCTTATAAAATTTAATCTAGCTAGATATTACACACCCTTTCCAGAAATTCACACCCAATTTCGTGATTATACCGCAAGTTTGATAGATTTCGGAGGCATGGGCTTAAAATATAGTCAGAGCTTTGATAATATTTCAACCATGGGAAATAAAACCGTGACAATAATACTGACACGTACCAGCGTTTTCCTGAACGGCTATGCCTGCCAAGATTACGATGCAGAACAGGAGCTTGAACATCTTGGCTAACTTCTCGCGTCCTATGGGAAGTTAGAAGAATATTAAAAACATTATAAGAAAACTGTGAACTAATTTGTCGCCTATACAAAGCCTGAAAAGCGTTGGTTGAAATTTGAAAGTAAACAAAAAAGCCCTTTTACCGGATTTTATGTGTGATTTTCGTCTTTTGATAGATGTGAACGAGTGAGCTAGTTGTTGATGTTCGAATAAGAGCTCTTTCTTATACATCAGAACATTGGTAACTAATTACTCGTTCACATCTATCGAAAAAAGAAAATCAAACATAAAATCTCAGCATAAATCGCAAGTGTAAACGAGCCTATATAACGCCGGTTAACACTTGCGATTTCAGTTGCTGCCATTTTATGTGCGATTTTGTCCTTTTGATAGAATGATGCATGCGAATCACTGAATAAGTTACGAATTTTCAAATACGGAAACCTATATACAACAGAATACCTATCGGAAGGACAACTCTACTGTTTTTTTTGCGTAAGTTGCGATAAATTTGTATTTCTGTTTTCAGTGATGATTAGCATTTCAAAGCTTTGTTTGACAAATTTTCAAAAGAAAAATGTCAATTTCTAACGGCGGAAGAATGTAATTTTTATCAACTTTTTGTCGACCCAATATTGGTTCATTTTTTAACAGAATGACACGTACATGGATATAATTTGAAAAGCAAGTAAATAAACTTAACAATGGTGTAAAAATCAATCAATTTATCACATGTATTCTGCGTAAATGTACGCTAAATTTGGACTGAAATTTTTTTTATACACACTGTGTATTCATTATAATGCATGCATGTTTGAATTGTTGTTGTTAGAATTTGAATACATGATCAACGAGTAGTATGTAAGTCGTACTGGTCTGTAGTTTTTTCGCCTGCGCTTCTTGTACTGTTAGATTTGTATTTAGGATGCATCAGTGATGGAAAGTACACGTTCTGGGACATTTTTTGAATCCACTTTCTAAAAAAAATAATGCTTATTTCGAATGGCACTTTTCGCTTAAATGTGCGCGACTTGTCCAGATTTATATGGAGGAAACTAGCCGCTCGTACAGTCTGTTCCAGAAAACTGGCTCTAGAACGTATTGCGCAGCTCTATGCCTCAAAGTATCCCCAGAGTTTGAATCTTTGTCAAGTTATTTTGATAATAAGTTTATGAATATTCTCGACGATTTCGGAATGGCAAAATGCGGAAAGTTGTGGGTTCGGCTCTAGTTTGGCTGCTCATTATGTATTTAAATGGTTGTTAACCTATCCCTTGTAGTTAATGCGAAACAAGTTTCTATCACGATCTACTTCTCGTACCTCATTCTCCGGCGTAAAGACTTTTATCATTTGTGGACTTTGGGAGCATTTAGACAAAGGCATACAAGTGCAGTCACCGCGTATTGTTTGGCAAAACGTATGGGTTGACGTAAGGTTCGCTTAGTTTTGAAAATGAGTGTCATATTGCGCGTCATTCACAGCGTGCGAGGCACTGGACACAAGTTGAGGCAAATGTTCGTGATAGTATTACAAACGTTTGACAGTGCTAAATTTGCCCACTTTTGGTTGAAAGAACTTGTAGTGCACTCAGGGAATGGACACTGATGCAGCATTTAGCACGCATACATGCCGTTCGTAATGGCGATCCACATGTAATTATAACAGGAATGACGGTTTTTAACAGTTTAATCAGATGCATGCAGAAGAAATTATTAATGCATAGCAGCTATTTATTATGTTATATGCATGGGAAAGCATTATATTGTTACGTCAGATACTCACCGTGAAATAAAGATAAACGAATTGCAGCTTTTCAAACCAGTTTAGGTATTAAAGTTAAACTTTGTCTTCTATAAGACGGACCTGGCGATCCAAAGACATTTGGTAAAGACCGATATTTGGTCAATTTTTAAGTAGGCCCGCTTTGGTTTTTATCTGGTTTATTTCACGTAAATACAAAAAATTGTGACATGCTTGTCTTCCAGGATAATGCAGAAAATGTCATTTTATCTAGTTTATGTACATAAACTATTTTGAAAAGCTGCGGTAGTGCCGGAATTTATATCTAAGTAACTATTGGTCAACGAGCAGTTTAACCCCGTTTATAGAATATACATTGTTTGGAGAGCACATAAAACTAAAATACAACTCATTAACTATGTTGAGGTAGATTTATGCAAAAAAAATTTCCTTTCTCATCACGTATCTATTGTGTTTTGCACAGACAATCTTATAATTAACATATTTTTCAAGTGAAGGTTGAGGAGCTTAAGAAGACGAATGAATTGGTACGTTTGGCTAAAATACAATAAACACGTGACGAGAGAGGAAAAATTTCTTGCATAAACCTAGACAGTAACATAGTTAATGAGCTGTATTGTACTTTTATTTAGTCACCAAACCATGTATATTCTATTAACTGTGGTTAAACTCATGCAGTTCAGAATTCCTCTCAGACATTAAAAATATCAACTGTTCTGTTTTATTAATCAGTAATATTTTGCACGGGAACATCCTGGCACACCCTGGATAGTAATATCAAATATGCTTTGCGGATCGATAAAACAATATAATATTATTTATTCAACACTGTGCATGTTTTCTGGTAAATAATATTACACTCGTTGCAGACAAGTTCTCATTTCCGACTTACCAGGTCCTTTGACTGACAGGGTACTCCTGCACGTCGTAAAGATGGTCTCATAATAGTCAAATGTCTGTGTGAAAGGACTGATTATATAATAAATGCCAACAGGACATTTGCTAAATCATTATAACATGATTTCTACTTGATTTCAAAATTCAAAGACAAAATCAGATTTAAAATCCGCAGTACCATTCATCTTCAAGTAGCTACATCCCTACATTACTGTTAGCAGACATTATCATGCACACCAACTGCTCCATTGTTTTAGTATCTGCGGATTTATTTCTATCGTCATGTTCACGGTTCACTTCTACCCAATCGACGGTTAGCATTATAAAAGATTACGTCAGGAATGCTACCATTCCCGTTCGCAGGCTGAAAAGTAAACACCCGGACCCGAGCAGAAAGATTGTTTTTAACCGTGTCAATTTTATTTTAACGTTATTTCGTTACAGTTTTACCTGTAGGGTTGTTCTGTTTTAGTAAGTGTTTTAATCATGAATTCTATGAAATTCAGCTGTGTAAATTGCATCAAATTTTGTGAGAAATCCAACCGATCTTTTCGCTTCGCAGGGCAAAGCAATCTCATCCAGATTTGCAAGAGAACGACATAAGTTGACACGTAAGCAATTGTATTATTGAATGATATTCTTATATATTGCTTTTAATGAAGACATAAAAGACAATTTCAAAAATTAAGCTCGCGAAAGCCTTGCAAAGTAAAAGAGCACATCATAAATTATGAAGACTAAATCATAATCATAAAGTTTAACTACTACCACTCATAGATTACCAATGAAATTTGTCCCGACAAAACTGCTTCGCGTTCGACAGCTTTTTCAAACTGCATGTATTGAAAAGAAAGAATATTACGAATGATTATTATCTATTTTACCAACAGTATCATACAGACGCGTAGGAACGAATTTAAATTCAGGGGTTTGAAATCGAGGCTAGTATAGTGAACGCGAACCTATATTTTATGGCATGTTTAGGTGAGGAGCAGACTCTCTTGCCAGCAGGTTTCGACAAACGTTCTTGTACATCATTGTGAATCAATCAATAATTAGCAATTTAAGGATGTTAACACAATCTATATTGACCACGACCTCTCAGTAACTTATAGGTACTAGTAACGTAGTACGATTTTTCTGGGGTCAACCCCAATCAATTTACCACAAACATTAGGCCAGTTTACCACTAGGGATAATTTTCACGTGAAGCGATATTTTACTTTTGTTCCAAAGCTGTCAACAGCAACTATCTGGAACAAATTGCTCAAAAATGTCGCTGAAAAATATCGGTTTGGAAAACCAGCTGTGCGAAGCTTTCTGCATCTCTGGTATGCAGCCAGTAGCGTTGCCAGCCTGACAATTAGTCCCGCTATGCCAATATTTTGGTGTTCATTGACTGTGAAAAAACTAAATTTCTAAAGATATGAATAATTATAATAACTCGAAATTTACATACCGGGGCAAAATCGTCAGGCTGGCTACGCCACTGTATACAGTACAGTATGCTGTCCAGAAATAACCTAACATCGCGATTGCGTTTCGGTTGTTTTCTCTCTAAATAAAGGTATGTAGCTATGTTGTTTCTTTGGTTTCGGATCCGGAGTAGTTTTAAGTCCAAATTCTCTTATGAAATATCTGTAGATCATATATGCAAATTCCCACCCCAAGTTCTGGTACATATTAGCTAGGTCAAGATGAAGTTAATGAACGTTTTCATAAAGAAACAAGGTAAAGTAAACATAATGTCATGTGTTATTTCACGGTGTCAATTATCATTCCAGTAGGCAAGATCAATAGTACTTTGAAAAATATCACTCAAGTTACGTCGCGAAGGAAAACCTTGCAATAATTGCGTTCATGACACATATTTTATACTGATGCACGAGGAGGGACCTTAAACATGTAGGAAGGGAATACGTTGAGGGGAGTTGTCAATACAATGACCATTAAATAAAAAATTATATTCCTATCTATATTCGAGTTTCAGACGTTGTCCACATGTGTTCTGTTCACAACTGGAAATCTCTGGCTTTCACGTCAGCATTTAAGACGCATCAAGCGCTACATGTATGTACTTGTAAATTTATTCGAATAAGAATATACAACAACTATTTACCATAGCATAATTATATTTTTTTAAATAGCGTTTCAGCCGCGTCATCGTCGTCGCCTAATCTTGAATAAAAACTTTTACCTACTTGCGATAACAACGTGGACACCAAAAGCCCTGGAAAGTAAAAGGTTAGTAAACATCAAGAGCATTGAATAGTAAGAAGAAAACATCGTAGTTATAAAGTTTAACTATTACCACGGTTCCGGCGCGTTGGACAGTTTTTCCAAACTGCATCTATTGCGGTTTCCCACCTAAATCATCACAAGAAAGAATCTGACGAATGATTATTATCTAAAGAAAGAATCTGACGAATGATTATTATCTATTATGTATAATACCAACAGTATTATACAGAGGTGTATGAACGAATTAAAGTTAAAGAGTTAGAAGCTTTCCGCGCCTCTGGTAGAGTAACATGTCAATTATTGAAAATAAATCGATAAAAGTACGAAATAGCACAAAATTTGGTGATATCTCATTATATATGTTTTCGAGTAAATGACTATAAAATTAGGTATTAGAGTCAAGCATATGACACGTCCAGACCACGTCCTACTTATTCGTGGGTTAAAATAAACCTTCTTAAGAGATATCTCAGCGACATATTTTTGTCAACTGGACTAGATTATCTGCTTGTCAGTTTTTGCTTAATGTATCCGACGAAACGCGTGTCTTTGCTTTATTAAAGATAGCAAGGGTCTTAAGGTCTTTTCAAACGATCCACTTTTGTTGGATTCAATTCTTAAACTTCTGTTGGATGTTTATAGTTTGTTGATCTGAAATAGCTATAATTTTATATGGGCACCAAACCACTTGAGCTTAAACAAGTGTGATGGAGGAATTACATCTGGATATTTGGGTCTTTCACATTTTCTGCGACTGCAAAGTTCGCAACCACTTTATTAAATAAATTTTACAAAAAGATTTACAAAATTGATATTATAATGAAACCATCTACATTTACGGCAAGTTAATTGGGATATATAGTTTACAATTGATTAATGAATATGGTGTGGTAGGTCTAGCTTTATCAACTTAATCTCAATAGTATAAATTATCTTAATTAAAATAAAATCGATAGGATTGGATTGGCGAGGCAATTAAAATATGTTGTTGAAAAAAGAAAACAAAATAAAATTATGATCGCGAAGTATACGCATAAAAACATTATTTTGCATGCACTTGCGAATGTGTCAATTATTTTTACATTAAGGGAGATTAGCTACTTAAGTGCTACTTTAAATTGCCAATGTTGGACGAAAACCTTGAATGGTGGGCTGTTGTGTTTGACACATGACCGAGTGCATGACTTAATTATGGCTTGTTTGTGATCATGTTGTGTATATGCATGCACCATAAAGTTGCAATGCTAAATAATTTGTGCAGTGATTTGAGCAGTGTCAAAATATGGAAGACAAAAGTTTTGTGCATGCGTTATCATGCGACATTTATCATTTGTTATCCACATGCACATACGCATAATTATACATTTATGACATTCTAGCCTGCATCAACATTAAGTTGCTTTTCATGAGAGATGTGTACAGGCAGTGCAGAAATTACATACCCTTGTATTAATAAGCAAATACAAAACAGACAGATAAATAGAAAAACTATAAAGGCATAAAAACGAATTGGTATTATTCAGAAAAGATCAGCTTCATCTCACTTTTGATTTTATACTTCTCTTAAACCAGCCATTTTTACATCAATGGGTAGGTTATTCCAATTGATAGTTCCATTGTATCTGAACCTTATTTTAAGAAATTCTTTCTTTGGTTGTCCATGCTAATATTAAATTAGTTTTATGATTCCTAAGATCATTGGGTGAGTCACCATCATTACATCATTGAAATAACTGTTTTAAGTTTGAAGCAGCTAGGTTTAGAGCAGCAAGCTTGAAACTCTGGCATCTAAGAAAAAAAATTGTGTGCTTTACTAAGGCCATCATACAACCTTCTAATGCTAATGTGCTTCAATGTCCTAATTTGTTATAACGAAACCTTTAAGCTCTTGTCCAAAATTTTATATAGCTACCAGGTTTTGATTTATATATATATATTTTTGT